GAAGTGGGACACCCTGTACCTGTGTGTAATATGGGACATCCTGTGCCTTTATCTGAAGTGGGACACCCTGTACCTGTGTGTAATATGGGACATCCTGTGCCTATATGTGAAGTAGGACACCCTGTACCTGTGTGTAATATGGGACATCCTGTGCCTATATCTGAAGTGGGACACCCTGTACCTGTGTGTAATATGGGACATCCTGTACCTATATCTGAAGTAGGACACCCTGTACCTGTGTGTAATATGGGACATCCTGTGTCTATATGTAAACTAGGACACCCTGTACCTGTGTGTGATGGAGAGTATGCTGGTCAACTGGAACTTGTAGATAGTGAGATGGGGCGAGATAGGACGACCCAGGTTCTTATTCTTCTCCCAGAACTCAGTTCGTGACACAGAGTGCTCCTGGGTCAAAAAACTGTTATTATTCAAATCTACAGGATGAGTAAAAAACAGAGATTATGGATGTTATAAAATATTTTTAAAGATTTATATTTTTAAAGATTTTTTTTCGAATTATATGCATAAATAAATTAAAATTTGATTTAAAAAATCTAAAATAGTTTTAAATCACATTTTACATTATTTAAGCCTAAAATTCAAACAAAATAAAAATCTTGAAAATTTTGTCTAAAACATCGATAGTCCCTGTTTTTTTTAACTCACCCTGTATATTTGGTCTTAAAATGCACAGTTACAATAAATGCGATATATATATTCATATATTTTTTAAATATTAGCTTAGATTCAAAACATTTAATATATTTAATATATATAATGAACATCTATAAAAATATGTACATTATCTAGGCAATTAACAGTAAAATCATGTGAACTGCTATTTAATCAAGATAAATATTTTGTACAGTTAGAAATATCTTTAAATTAGTATTTAAATCTAAATGGTATTTAAAATCATATAAAAAGAACATTTCCCCATAATTCATATCTTTGATGTTAAGACAGATTGCAATTATTTTATATTCGTTATGTTATATCATTGATTAATCATAAAAATTTCTGAGGTTAAAGCTTTTAAATGTGATAGTGCAAGTAGTCACATCGACTGATCTTCATATCTACTATGGAAACAATTAAATTAAAAGATTTAAGATTTCTTACAGGGAATATGTACGAAGAAATAATTGCATGATGATTTTAACGGAGTAACTATGTAGCTTTGGTCCCGACAAAAATCACATCGTCAAAAAAAACTATCTATTTCCCCCAAACTCTATGAATTTATTTCGCCCAGTAAATTAGGAATGTTGGCAAGCAACGCAAAATAAACGTTTTTGGGTTTATTTTTCGCAGAATTTGGAAACAATTTATGGCTTTATGGGGAAAATGATTTTTTTAGTTTTTCAGGGGGAAATAAATTCTTTTTCAGGGGGAAATAAATACGTTTTTCAGGGGGAAATAAATTCTTTTTCAGGGGGAAATAAATTCTTTTTCAGGGGGAAATAAATTCTTTTTCAGGGGGAAATAAATTCTTTTTCAGGGGGAAATAAAAACGTTTTTCAGGGGGAAATAAATACGTTTTTCAGGGGGAAAAAATACATTTTTTTTAGTAAGAAAGCATTCTCAAGGGAGGAGGGGGGAGAACTTGCCTATTTTTAGGATTTCCCCCGACTGAGAATATATCCATGACTTAATATCTTAATGTTTTACCTCCGGGGTCATAGGTTTCATCATTGCCATACTCCTGGCCTGTAAGGCGCTGAATCTGGCGCAGCTGGGGGCCAGCAGCTGGCGGGCAGAGCAGGCAAGTGCGAGGGACATCTTATATTCTGTAACAAAATAAATATATTGATCACAGGAATTCCAAAAAAGCAAATTCAGAGTTATACATATTTTACAAACCGGAGGAAGAGGGGAGGATAAAGGTTTTAATACTGTTTCCAATGAACTGTACAATTAATAGTGGTTGCGTACACGATTCACAACGTTACCCTGTGACCATCGTAAGGACAAAAATGACGAAGATATATTTTTCTAAAAATTGATAATTTTCAGTTTTATCTAATTTTTAAAAATGGTTTTATGCAGCTTTGACAATGATGGAAATCACTTGAAATACGGATCATGGTCTCTTTACCACTTTTAATAATTGATTATTTTAGTTTCAGCTGAGCGTGATTAGTTTGTTTGAGTTTGCTGCAAGATCTGTGATAGAAACCCGACCCTGTTGTCGGATAAACTTCGCAACATCCTCCAACTCCGATGAGGAGATGAAGATAAACTTCCCACGGTCGTCGACCACCCCGGTGAGGTCCCCAGACTCCTGGAGCACTGAGATACGGTCAATGACCTCCTGTGTTTTCATCTTGAAGTGGGCCGCGAGGTCTTCCAGGAGGACAACCTTGGTCTCCTGGATGTAGGAAATGAATTTTCCCAGACGGTTTTCTTCCGACTCATCTTCGTCGCCATCACAACCCTCCTCCTCGACGGAGAAAGCGGATTTCATTTTCATGTATTCTTCATGTTCCTTTCTCTCCTTCTCTTCCTGCCTTCGCTTCTCGTCTAGCTCCTCTCTCTTCTCCTCTTCTCGTTCTCGTTCTCTAGCCTTCAATGCTTCTTCGTCTTCCTTCTCCCGTTTCTTTTTACTTTCCTCCCGATCCCGCAGTTCGGCTTCCCGCTGAATTTTCTTATCCGCCTTGGCTTGAAGTTTCTCCAACTTCTTTTTTCCTATCTTCCCCTCGGGGATTTTAACTCCGGCTTCCTCTAGTTCTTCAAGTTCTTCATTACGAGCACCATCTTCATCATCATCATCGCTATCATTCCGAACAGGTCGCCGTAGTCGTGGACCTCGTCGTCCGCCAGGACCACGGTTCGCCTCGACAGGTCTTGAGGCAACGGCGGAACCTTCGCGGCTGGAGGAACGGCGGAACAAGGTTGGAATGGCGAGAAGGATGCAAAGCAAGGTGGCTATGGCGACCAGGACTAGAACGTCCATTGTTGATCTGAAATTAAACAACAATAATTTTTGATGAAAAATTTCTTTTTTTCTCATTTACACATAATAGGTTACTTTACAAAGGAGACGCAGCTCCAAATTCGCTGTACTTAAATAGCGGTCCAGGAGCTTTAGATTTCACGCCAGAAGTTGTTGCCACGCCTCCTTCCGCTCCAGCAGTCAGGGCCTTAGAGGCAGCTCCTTCAGCAATCACGGTAGGGGGCGTTACCTCCCTCCTGGCATCACGGGTGTAGTAGTAGTTGGCGTAGAGCTTATGACTTGGCCCCTCAGGGAGGTCTGGATGGGGCGGGGACCTTGTCGCCAACTTGTCGGCAAACCGGAGATTGTTGTCGTGAGAGCGACCAAGGAGGATTGCTCGGAGTCTAATCAGCATCGGTGATACCTCACGGGCAGCCATCTCTTATTCTGAAATAGATAGGAATAATCTTTTATTCTAAAATAGATCGGAATAATCTTTTATTCTGAAATAGATCGGAATAATCTTGAAAATATGAGAGTTGACATTTAATGAAGAAATATTAAAAGTGGAATACTTCAATTGTTAAACAGTTTCTAAATGTTGCTTACACAATAAAGTGTGTCTCCCATTTTATTTTACAAAAAAATTATTATTTCTTTGTAATTCATTTTAGGTTAGGTTAAGACAATTTCTGGGCCTAGCGCTGCGGCTAGGAAAGGCTCGGGAGCCGAACGCGGCGTCTAGGACAGGCTAGAGGGCCGAGCGCCGCGACTATCAGTCAGGTCAGGGGACCGAGCGCTGCGGCCACATGAACAATTATATTCATGTGTTAGTTATAAGATCCATGTACATAATTGATAGGAGGGGGAGGGGGGATGGGGTCCAAAAACAGTTCTCTGGGAAATTACCAATATGTTGATTTATGTAAAATTTCTTTGTAATTAGTTGAAGAGCTTTGTAGAGTTACAGAAATGTCTGTAAGAAATTACGTGATGACACATTAATTCAATCACTACTTTACACACTTTTAGAATTAGATACCTAACTCACTTAATTCCTAAAGAAGGTCGTTTAAAAAGCTTAAACAATTTTCTGACAATCTTTTAGCAGACTAAATAATGTACAATGGCGCATTTACTACCTGCCTTGCTGACTGCAGCCTGCAACAATCAGCTGTTGTGCTTTATCATCCGAACTACTTGACATTTAAGAAATACGAACATTTTGAATGGAATTATATTAAAGTTTTAGCACGAACGAAGAAACAATCAAATATTTTTCAGCAAAGCTAAAGCCTGCTAGGACCCCAAAGTGGATATTTTTTACAAGTACTTAGCGAGAAAAGATTGTGTCTCAAGTTACGAAGACCGGATGGTTCAGCATCCTTAAACAAAGACGATTTTGAAGGAAAGTAAAATTAAACCAACTTCCCGGCATTTTATAGATTCTGCGCCCGCCCTTGAAAACAGAACAAAAAAGTGAATTTATCTCAGCCTCCGTGGCCTCTGGTTGGACTCCGGACTGGTTTTTGCTCCGGGTTTGTTACTATATCTGACCTTGAGAGTAATCCTGCATTCAATACTTTCACTCAATCCTTCTCTTTGTAAAGTAATTTCAAGTAATACGCGCAATGAATTGAGGTGTATTTGTTTTCATGACGAAATAGATTAATTTTGGAAACGCTTCTTAGAAGTTTAAAAGATAAGTATTTTTAAAATATATAATTTTTTGAGTTACTGGGCTTTCAGGGGACTTTGCTTACATCTTCTTTTTCAATTGTGAACATTTTCTCTTTGGTATATTCTTAGAGAACGACTTTTGGACCCCCCCCCCTCCTATCAATTTTGTACATGTACACTTATCTGACAGGAAGTGTCTTAACTTAACCTAACCCCTAGCCGCAGCGCTCGGCCCAGAAAGTGTCTTAACCTAACCCTAAATAACAAAATAAATTAATAATAAATTTGCTGAAAAGTAAATGGTCATGTACAAAATTGATAGGAGTGGGGGGGGGGGGTCCAAAAATCGTTCACTAGGACAGACCCTTCTCTTTTTTTACATTGTTAAACAAAACAAAAATTTAATTTCGTGGATTTTATAAAAAAAATTCTTGGATTTTAAAATTTTCTAAAATAAAACTTTGAGGCAATTTTTTGAAAATTAGATTATCCATAAACCTTCAATGGGGCCACGTGAGGTCCCACCAAAAATGTAGGCCCGATCGGTTCAACCGTTTTGACGTTTATTGGATTTAATAAAACAGACATACAGACAAAGAGACAAGTACATATAATGAAATATTAATATATTTTCAGAGAAAGAATTTCTTTTAAAATGTCTCTCTCTCGCGGTTTGTACGGCGAGAAAAAAGAAGTTCTTCATCTTCAGGCGGACGCAACTTCCCTGGCGGATCTCAAGGCGGAGACCGTTCGGAAAAAGGCGGAGGCCGTTAAGAATCGTCAACAGGGAAACTACCGGCCGGAAAAAAGCGGCGAAAACAAGAAAAAGGCGAATATTTGGTCGAAGGAGAACACTGGACTGTTGGCGAGGATGCAGAGGGATATGGAGGTCAAGGCGGAGGAGGAGAGAAACTGGGCCAAATCTAAATCCATCATGGAGCGGAAATCCAAGCTCTATGATAGTCTAAAGACTGGAAAGGGTAAAAGCGAGGTCGCCAGCAATTTCCTGGTTAATTTTAGCGATCGACGGGATAGTGATTCTGATTCAGACGATGGAAGGTATCAGAGTAAGGATTATCCGGCAAGTAAGGACGGAGAGGAGTGGGTTGAATACACAGATCCTCTTGGACGAACTAGAACTTGTATGAAGAAAGATTTAAAGCGAGTTCAGAGGAAAAATAAGGATATCGTCCGTATTGACGAAGATGACGATTCTGAGGACGATAGGCGTGAAAGAACGAGACCGGCGAATAGTGACGATGAACCGGATTTGTTAAGTGAAGATATGAGACGAGATATGCTCCGGCAGAAGTGGGAGAAGGAGGAAATGGAAAACTTGACCAAGGATTCTCTTCATTACACTGATGTTAGGTTTGATGAGGCTCGGAACCATGGAGCAGGATTCTACGCTTTCTCCAAAGACGGAGATAAAAGAACTCAAGAGCAGGTTACTCTCAAGAAACTACACGAGGAAACCGACGAAGCAAGGAAGGAGAAAGAACGAAAGGCGGTTAAAAGAAAACGTGAAATGGCGGAGAGAATAAGGAAGATTAAACAGAAACGGCGAGAAAAGTTGGGACTTCCGCCGTTAGAGGACGAGGAGGCGGAAGAGGACAATTTGGAGGAGGACACAGACCCTGACTTCACCAAGAGCGTGATGGAAGGGTTGAAGAAGTTCAGGGAGAAGAACGAGGAGGAGGAGCGGAGAAGGAATGATGTCCGACGGAAAGAATCTTTACGGGAGTGGGATGAAGGGAAGGAAGGAACGAGTGAGGTGAGGAAGGAGTGGAAGGTTATGACCCAGCAGGAATGGTTGGATAAACAGAGGAAAGACCGACAAAATGAATTTGCTCCGCCCTCCGCGTATACTGAGGCAAGAACCATATTACAGAAGAAAGAGGAAGAATTTATTAAGCTGCAGGAAGAGAAACGTAGAATGACCAAATCCAAACCTAAAGAAAACAAATTTGTTAAACCTCCACCACCCTATGAAAGACTAGCTGTTCCTAAACCAATCCCTTCTCTAGATCCTATGGCCATGTTAGAGGCAACCCCAACCTTCACCGAATCAAAGGCACACACTAGACCGACCTTCTCCGAGGTGAACTCTGGCACTTCTCCGGGTATATCCGGTATAGAGCCACTAATGAATTCCTATTCTACAGCAATGCGGCTGGATTTACATAAGAAGATGCAGGATCAACATTTCTTGCCGAGACCTGGACTGAACACCGCTATCATCAATGAGCTAGAGGAGTTCGAGGAGTCAGATGATGAGGAGGATGAAGTCTTACGTCGAGGTCAAAAGGCGGAGGTTGCTCCGCCCTCGAGTATGGATTATTATTCCTTTTCTGGCGGACCAAGGGATAGTAAACATGGGTTCAGAACCCATGAAGATATGGCGAGTGCTTTTAACCAGGGTCTAAATAATGCGCGAAAAAAATGATGAAAAGACGCGGGAGAAAAAATTTCATACTTTCAGGATCAAAATGGCATTTACTCTGGGTCCGGAGGCGAACAGGCCTGAGCTGATGGAAGAGATTAAGTTGTACCGGAACCCAAGAGAACGGGAAAAGTTTGATAATCTCGCCGAACTGTTTGCAGTTATCAACACGTTACAGTGTTTAGAGAAAGCATACATCAAGGATAGTGTTCAGGCCAAAGTAAGATTATTAAAAATTTTACAAAAATTTTACAAAATTAAAAATACATTTATTTAAAATGTTTTTTTTTCAGGAGTATACTGGTAACTGTTCAAAACTTCTAGTTCAATTCAAAGCTGCGTTTAAGCAGGTAAATTTAATAAGCTGAATTCATAAATAAAAACCTAGGCTTCCTAAGCGCTACGGGCCTCTGATAATGATGATAATGATGATAATGATGATAATGATGATAATGATGATAATGATGATAATGATGATAATGATGA